GAAGAGGACGACGAGGGAAACGGCGATGAACAAAACAAGGCAATAAATCAAGAGGACAAAGGGACCAATGAGGAAAAGGGAAGTGAAGAGGAGGACGACGAGGGCAACAACGATGAACAAAATAAGGAAACAAATCAAGAGGACAAAGGGACCAATGAGGAAGAGGGCAGTGAAGAGGAGGAAGAGGGCAGTGAAGAGGAAGACGAGGGCAATGGCGATGATCAAAACAAGGAAAGAAATCAAGAGGACAAAGGGACCAATGAGGAAAATGGCAGTGAAGAGGAGGACGACGAGGGCAATGGCAATGAACAAAACAAGGAAAGAAATCAAGAGGACAAAGAGACCAATGAGGAAGAGGGCAGTGAAGAGGACGACGAGGACAATGGCAATGAACAAAACAAGGAAAGAAATCAAGAGGACAAAGGGACCATTGAGGAAGAGGGCAGTGACTCTAGCGGGGACAATGAAGATGAGCAAATCCAGCAAAACGAAGACGAGGACGAGAGCACTGACGAGGAAGATGGGCAGTGAAGATGACCCAACAAAAGTCCTTAGTACTTACCTATGTGTGTTTGCGTTTGTGCTTGTATGTTTTCCAATTAGAATATGATGATGCACTAGTGTGGGCTACATGCAGCTAAACTTAAGCATTAATTAGACAGATTTAATCGTGTTATGGATGCTTGTTTTATTAGACAAATGTAATGCTTTGACTGCGTTTCACTTTTTGTTAACAGGGTATCTCATCTGATATGATGTACAGTTACTAGAGAACATTGTGAATGGATCTATGTAATGCTCGTGTCAAGGTTTAGAGAACATTATGAATCATCTTTTTCATAAGTTTGAAGTTCTGGAAAAAAGTCCATTCTGTTTGAAACACCATTATAATAAGTACACGGGATAGTTCAACAGGTGAAAGTCTCCTACTGGAAATCTGACACCTTATACTGGTAATCTCACGACCGTAAAATACTCAAGTTAGATGTAAAAACCAGTGCTTCATTCCTCAGGCAAATATCACGGCCGTGAGATGTCCCGTGAGATGCAAAGAGCAGTTCTCACTATCCCAGGAAATTTAATAAATCCCTTTATGGTACAACCCAAAATTGTACCTATACTAATGGTACAACTTTTATGGTACAACCCAAACTTGTACCTATACCATGGTACAACTTTAAGTTGTACCTACACTTTCTAACAAATCCCTTTATGGTACAACTAAAAATTGTACCTATACTAATGGTACAACCTTAAGTTGTACCTACACTTTCTAATAAATCCTTTTATGGTACAACCCAAACTTGTACCTATACGAATGGTACAACTTTAATTTGTACCTACACTTTCTAAAAATCCTTCTATGGTACAACCCAAACTTGTACTTATACTATGGTACAACTTTAAGTTGTACCTACACTTTCTAATAAATCCCTTTATGGTACAACCCAAAATTGTACCTATACTAATGGTACAACCTTAAGTTGTACCTACACTTTCTCCAAATCCAGCTATGGTACAACCCAAACTTGTACCTATACCATGGTACAACTTTAAGTTGTACCTACACTTTCTAACAAATCTCTTTATGGTACAACTAAAAATTGTACCTATACTAATGGTACAACCTTAAGTTGTACCTACACTTTCTAACAAATCCCTTTATGGTACAACTAAAAATTGTACCTATACTAACGGTACAACCTTATGTTGTACCTACACTTTCTCAAAATTCTTTTATGGTACAACCCAAACTTGTACCTATACCATGGTACAACTTTAAGTTGTACCTACACTTTCTAACAAATCCCTTTATGGTACAACTCAAAATTGTACCTATACTAATGGTACAACTTTAAATTGTACCTACACTTTCTAATAAATCTCTTTATGGTACAACTCAAATTTGTACCTATACTAATGGTACAACCTTAAGTTGTACCTACACTTTCTCAAAATCCTTCTATGGTACAACCTAAACTTGTACCTATACTATGGTACAACTTTAAGCTGTACCTACACTTCCTAAAAATTCTTCTATGGTACAACCCAAACTTGTACCTATACCATGGTACAACTTTAAGTTGTACCTACACTTTCTAACAAATCCCTTTATGGTACAACTCAAAATTGTACCTATACTAATGGTACAACCTTAAGTTGTACCTACACTTTTTCAAAATTCTTTTATCGTACAACCCGAACTTGTACCTATACCATGGTACAACTTTAAGTTGTACCTACACTTTCTAACAAATCCCTTTATGGTACAACTAAAAATTGTACCTATACTAATGGTACAACTTTAAGTTGTACCTACACTTTGTGAAACAAATTCTTCAATGGTACAGCTGAAACTTGTACCTATACTATATGGTACAACTCTAATTTGTACCTACACTTGTATACATTGATTCATTATTTACAAGATTGCCATTAATGATGTGGGACCAGTCATTTAGTGGGTTACCTCCTCAACAGGTCACCTTTTTTTTTTGTTTTTTATAGCATGGGTGCTATAGAGCACACTAGAAGGGCTCGGTTTTTGCCCCATATATTTTGTAGAATAATGCAACTCAGAAAAAGACTAGAGGATCACTGTGTTACTGATCTCTCTCTATGTGTCCATCTCTACATATATCCAATGATCATGTAATTCAGATATGGAAAAAAAAAGAACTTCTTGTCGTCACTCTTATGTATATTGATTTCTTTTGTTCGAACAATTAGATAGTCGTTATTTTCAGTACATTCTAAACTGTTTTTATTGTTTGATGATAGAAACCTAATCCTAGTGTTCTAGTGTTGGATGATTGGGGATTTGGAGATAAAATTGAGGATTCTAGTGTTGGATAATTGGGGATCTGGAGATAAAATTGAAGATTAAGATTCAGAATTTGGGGAAGAAAGAAGAAAAAATTAAGAATCGGCCGAAATTTTGGATTAGAGAAAAAGAAAAATTAGGAGACAGAAAGAGCTTAGAGTTTGGAAAGATAATTCTTTTATTGATTTATGCTTAATCGAACAAAAAACTCAAAGTACATGTTTATAGCTAAAGAATGAAAAACCTAATAGACTATTTTAGTATGACTCAAATACTTAAAATAATAATCCTCATAATTATAGTAATTATAGAAAACGTAGGTTTCTATCAGCTAGTTAGGAGAAGATAGGGTGATAAGATGGATAAGTTTATATTAGTACCATGCTAAATACTCTAATCATCATTTGGTCACCAAATCGGTTAGAAAGGGATCAATATTTAGTTTCGAACAAATTCGATCAAAATTGAGAATTTCGGTCGGTTAGACAAGAAACCAGAATTTACTATATTCAAAAATAAAGTCCCTTCATGAGATTTAAAGCAAGTACCTCATGTTCACAAGTTTCAATTATACACCAATAGGCTACATGGAAATTTGTTATACATATTAACCTTATATATGATATGACTCTATATCTTAAACTAAATCATAGTAAACATTAATTTATTTTATATAATTTTAATTTTTACATATCGAATTGTTTACTATTAGTTCAATTCCTAGCTATAAATCATCTTGTGTGAATTAAGTCTTTTAATAACTTCTTTCTAATTAACTAATTTGGTATTGATGATTTTCATTTTTCTCATGTAGTTTACTAAAATTGATATAATCTGCATAAGCATTGCTTGTACTACAGTCGAACCATTTCACTTGGATAATCAACGCACCGGCATTATTCGGTTTGACAACCTTGTTTAGTAGCCATCTTATTGGCTTTTTTTTTTAAGTCATCCATTTGATTGGCTGATGGTAGTGTTTCAATAACATTTTGAAGTTATTTTAATGTAACAGGTAGTTGTTTAGCAGCTTTTAATTAGTAGTCACTGACAATTTTTATTCAAAATTATTACTGAAAATTATAAAGAAGATACTACAAACTATTAAAAAAATACTACAAACAAAAATAATAACACCATAACTAGGCAAAACACTATTGATAATTCTAGTGAATCGATGCTGATTATAATAAGGATCACTACTTAAATAAAAATAATAATAAGAATCACTACTTGAACATAAATACTACTAATATATAAATACTACATCTTAAAAAAATTAAAATTAAACGAGGTCATTACCAATTGGAATTTTTATTTATTTCTTGACATACCGCTCCTACATCATAACTACTACTAAACAAGGACAACTTAAAAACCTAAAAACCGGCACCCTCTTGCGGCACGCCGACACCCGATACTAACTCGCACACACGATGCGGTGTGAGATCGAGTGATAAAATAATGCTCACAAACTACTAATCCTGACAATGGCAAGTATACCGTTTTCATGCTTGCAGTATAGCGGCTCGCTCGTATTCTCTAGGGATTGTCGACTCGCTAGCATACTTTTGTTAAGTTCTGTTGTTATCCAATCGACAATTGATTATTTTTGTACTATGGAATTGTTTAACGATAGAAAAAAGAAGGCCAAATACACTTGTGTAGCCAAAACTTTGACGGTTTTGCCAAATATAGCCACTTTTGGCAAAATACCAAAAATAGCCACTTCCGTCCAATTATTTGACGGTGTTAGTTAACGTGTTGACTGGACTAACGGATTGTCTGACGTGGCGATTTCCGACCCATATGTATTTTTCTCGTGGATTTAAAAAAATATATTAAAAGATTAGGAAAAAATAAAAGGTTATGTATTTCCCATGTACATTAAAACTTAACAAACAAAAACAAAAAAAAAATCCCCCAAAAAAATTCCATCGCCAACACAGCGTTGCAAACCCTTCTCTTCCCTATCCATCAGATCCCGCACCGGCCGCCTCGTATCATCGTCGAGATTCAATAGGAGGAGATTGTAGGCTTGGCTTCAAACAACTACCTCTCCTCTCGATTTCATTCCCAAATCATTCTCTCCCGCACCATTCCTCATTCCCAAATCATTCCCTTATTCTCTTCTCGAATTCAAACTGTTGCCTGTCCTCGCGATTCAACCAGCTCTCGCACCATTCCCTCATTTTCTGTCTTGGAAATTTGAATCATTCCAGCCTCCAGATATGTTCCAAATCTCCAAAAAAATTTCATTCCCAGATCTAACCCGAGCGTTCTCGGCAAAGAAAACACAAAATCATGAAGCGCTCAACGCCAATAAAGTCCGCCCAGGTCAAGCGTCGCTTTGATTCCCGACCCAAAATCCCTTTCTCCGACGCGAATCAAGGGTCAGAGTCGCACCATCACTGCTCTGACGCAGATCGAGGGTTCGAGTTCCTCTCCTCTCCTTCCGTTGTCACCTCTGTCATCCCGCGACAAGCACATTCCGGCAATGCGATTGAGTGGAGGATGGTCTCGTCGTCGAGTGCGGCGGGGATGCGGCATAGCTGCGGCGGCCATGGATGGCGAGGAACAGCGAAGGCAGGGACGCCTCTGTGAAGATTGTGCATAGATATGGCTGGTCGTTTTCAGCCTTTTCTGTGCCTAGGTTTCTTTCGTCGGAGAACAAGAACCAGAAAGGACAGATCATATTTGGAAAAGCAGGATTCACCGATCGCTTGGTTCGCCGATCGATGGGAGATACTGGATTTGATTCACGAAAGAATAGAGGGCACTAGGCAGGGAGTGGGATCGAAGAAGATGAAGAAGGGGATTAAGAGAGACGGAGAGTTCATCTCCTTTTGTTTTGTTTATTTATGTTTTTTATTTATTTTGTAAATGATGTGTATTCCACCAGTCAGTGAATGCTGAGGTGGAAATGAAAGAGAAGGTGAGTTGGCTGCCAGTTAAGCATTCCGTTAAATTGACTAACGGTGTCACTGACGTCGTTAAATTATGTAACGCAAATGGCTATTATTGTCATCAAACTTTCAAAATTCTGCCATTTATTGGTATTTTGCCAAAAGTGGCTATATGTGACAAAACCGTCAAAGTTTTGGCTACACAAGTGTATTTGGCCAAAAAAGAATAGAGAGAACAATGCTTTGGGTAATCACCCACACCCTAACATCAAGCAGATATGCAATCAACAGGTAATGTATTTATGGTCATTGAGGTGCGGCGATCACTAAACTGGGAACCGATGTAATGGTCAAGCCACTAATTCCCCTCAAAGCCACATCCACTGGGCCAATGTCACCATAACCGAATTTTGTGACTATGGATAACACCCTATCTCCTCTAAATGTGTTCTAACCATCCGCACACAAGGTCTAGTCGATGGTCACGCAAGCGAGTCTCGAGCATTACCTAAGTGAGCTCCTAGTTGGCAGGGGATGGTCACCTCGTTAGAAACTAGGACTCAATATCAACCAATTGAGCTAAGAGTAATCGTTCACATACAATCAAGTGCTAACCTGATTTGGCATAGGCTAGAACATGACATACATGCATTCATACACCCAAACTATGCATTAGAAACTCTATATAAACTCAAATTAACAATAAATTCACAATACTCATACAATTACATCTTATACCCTAGTTAGGGTTTGGAGGGCAAAGCCAATGTACCTAAGGAAACTACCTCATAAAAAGGGGAGGAAAGCTGTAGAAATAATGGAAGAAAACATAAATGAGGGGCTCCTTCTTGTGCAGAGAAATTCCTCTTCACTTACATCAATGATAGCCCTAGTGGTTGCTAAGTATGGTCTCTCGAGGATAATATGTGTGCCATTCCATCCATCTATAATTCTATATCCATAATCACAAAGTCTATCAGGTAGACAAAATGAGCACACTTTACTATCACATTCTCAAATCTCAATCACTCCATTGGGTGTTACAAATTACAGGTTAGCCGATTCCACCTTCATGATCGTTGGTGTAATGGGACCAAGTTCAAGATCATTATAGATTCTTGTCAACATAATGTTGATGCTTGGGCCTAAATTTGGCAGACGAGTCCACAAAGTCTTATCACCAAATATGCATGGAATTTTGAAGACTCATGTATCTCTCCTCTTAGGAGGAACTCCCTTACAAGAAATCATAGTTGAGCACACCGAGATTAGAAACTCATGGAAACTTGTTCCGTCTTCCTCTGGTGAGAAAAATCTCCTTAAGAAATCTTGTATAATTAAGGACATTCATTACATTGTCGAAGAACGGCAATATGACCTCAACTTCTTCAACATCTCCTTCCATTGCCCACACTCATGATGTAGATGGCTTTCAAAAGCTCTCTTGGGATATGGAAGTATAGGATTGTACAAAATCGAGTTTTGGAAGAGATACCGGTTGAGGATGCATTTTCAAGGGCACGGATAGAGCTTCCTACAACCCTTGAATTAATTGACCCTTCACATGGTTGAGGAAAAAGGAGTTAAACGTAGACCCTTATGCGAGTGATAAGGGGGCAAAATTGCTCTTACTCGATCACACTGCTAAGTACTAAAGTACTATGCAAAATTAAACTCACTTAAGCAATGAAAAGTGCTAAATGCTAGGCATGCGTAACATGAAAAGAAAGAACACTTAAGTACTCTCATAAAAGAGGGTCACAAGATAGGGATGCGCATAAATGCTTACCCAACCTACATATGCTTCGCCCCAAATCCTTATACTCGAGTCGAGGGAAAGAACTCAATCTCGTGAGATACAAATTTTTCTTACTTGCGAAGTACGTTTTGCGCTTTATCATCGCCATGGAAAAGGGTCTCTAAGTGTTATGCACAATAGTTTGTTACCATGGTGCTAACACACTAGCTGATCTCTTCACATAAAGGTTGTCAACCAGGTTTAGCCCGTTGACCCGGTTGAGCAAGTAGTTTGAGGGTTTATGGTCCATCCGCTTTAGTTTGCTTTTTAGCCTAGATATATAGAAAAGTCATTATGTTGTTTATACATTTATAAATTATATCAAATCTCATCTAATATATGAGCAATAACATATAACATTACACCAAAAATAAATATATGATACTTGAATCCAACATATAGTACAAATTCAGAAACACTTATATAATATCAATATTCAAATATTTCACTCGAAATTCCAAAAGTAGGTCTAAGTGAAGAGAAAAAGATCCACATTTTGCGAATCAAATAAAAAATGACGCAGTGTGACATCCAACCACGTAAGGTTACAACGGGTCAATCCACATGAGAAATTTTACAATGCTATATAGTATTGGTGCTATAGGTTTTTGCTTTTGTGGTACAATTTAAAATTGTACATTTACGTTATGGTACAACTACAGATTGTACCTATACTTTTTGTACAAATTCTTTTATGGTACAACTTGAACTTGTACCTTTATGTGATGGTACAATTTCAAAATGTAAAGTTGTACCATAACATAATGGTACAAATTGCTTTATGGTACAACCTAAACTTATACATTTAATGTTATGGTACAACTTTGAGTTGTACATTAAAGCACCAATGCTATATAACATAGTAGAAGTGCTCCAATCCACATATACATATGATGATCCATTTTTTCACCGGATCATAGTCAAAACGAGTCAACCTACCAGTCGATGACAACCTTGCTACACATCCTCCATATCTCTGTTTTAATTAATTACACCAATCCGCCAATTGCCGAATTTTCGTCCCGTGATATATGACTAGTTAAAAACTTAAAATACCACACGCAGTGCAGTTGGGAGGAGGAGAGAAAGAAAAAAGAAAGAATAATCCTCACCGACGCGGAAATGGGAATGGATCCACTCTCCCTAGATCTCAAGACACTCCTCCGACTCCATCATCATCGCTCTTCTTAGCCTCCTCTCTGTCTCTTCCATCTCGCCCTCCACCCCTCCAAACTTCCTTCAAGATCCCAATTCCAGATTCGCGCGAAGGAAGCAGAACAAATACAATTGTCCACGCCGTCGGTCGGGATTCCGATGGCGGTCGCCGTTCGAGGTGGCCGAGGAGGTGGACTTGGATCCGGCGGTGTCAATGCCGGCCTCCGAAGCTTCTTCTCCTACCGGATCTTTCTGTCCGCCATGTTCACCATTCTCTTCGTCGCTACGCTCTCTGCCATACTCACCACTCATCCATCCGCCTCTTCTCAGCTCCCCTCTGTAAGTCACCAACCTTCCGTCTTCATTCTTTCGTTCATTCCGCCCATCATCCAATTCTGTACTCTGTTGGTATTCAAATCAATCCAGATGAGGACTGTTGATCATTCAATTTTAGTTTCTGAGAATCGAATGAAAGAGGATTGCATATGGGAGAATCTTGCCTGAAATGGACTGTACATTAATGGATGAGTTTTGGAATTTGGTATTTCATTTGTTTGTGTCTGTTTGACTTAATTTCTGTATGGTTTTTTTTTTATTATTATTGGTGTTTGGAACAGTCATTTCATAGCGGAGATGCGTATATGCACCGAACATTTTTGGCAATCAAGTCGGATCCACTGAAAACCAGATTAGATTTGATATACAAGCAAGCTACTGATCACATGACCCTGGTGAACGCTTACGCGGCTTATGCCCGGAAGCTGAAGCTCGACATTTCGAAGCAATTGAAGATGTTCGATGATTTGGCCAAAAATTTCTCGGATCTGACTACGAAACCCGGTTACTCGTTCCCAGGCCATGATGCTGTGGACGAAGAGGTGTTGAGGCAGTTCGAGAAGGAGGTAAAGGAGAAAGTGAAAGTTGCGCGATCAATGATAGTGGAGTCCAAGGAAAGTTATGATAATCAGATAAAGATTCAGAAGCTGAAAGATACAATTTTTGCAGTGAATGAACAGCTTGGCAAGGCCAAGAAGAATGGTGGTATAGCTAGCAGCATTTCCGCCAAATCCATACCAAAGAGCTTGCATTGCTTGGCTATGAGACTTGTGGAGGAGAGGATTGCTCATCCGGAGAACTATACAGAACAAGAGCCCAGCCCTGCAATCGAGGACCCGAGTTTGTATCACTATGCTTTGTTCTCGGATAATGTGATTGCTGTTTCTGTGGTGGTGAGGTCGGTGGTGATGAACGCAGAGGAACCATGGAAGCACGTTTTCCATGTGGTTACAGATAGGATGAATCTTGCAGCTATGAAGGTTTGGTTTAGGATGAGGCCTGTGGAAGGAGGTGCTCATGTGGAGATAAAAGCAGTGGAAGATTTTCCTTTCTTGAATTCTTCATATGTCCCTGTTCTGAAGCAACTTGAAAGCTCTTATATGCAGAATTACTACTACAAGAATCAAGGAGAGAATGGTAGTATCGGTGATGCAAGTAATGTGAAGTTCAGGAACCCAAAGTATATGTCTATGTTGAATCACCTCCGATTTTATTTGCCGGAGCTGTATCCCAAGTTGCACAAGGTTTTGTTTCTGGATGATGATGTTGTTGTCCAGAAAGACTTGACTGGTTTATGGAAGATCGATTTAGATGGGCGGGTGAATGGAGCTGTTGAGACTTGCTTTGGGTCGTTTCATCGCTATTCACACTACTTGAATTTTTCACATCCACTGATTAGGGAGAACTTCAATTCCAAAGCTTGCGCTTGGGCTTTTGGAATGAACATATTCGATCTGGATGCTTGGCGACGTGAGAAGTGCACAGACACTTATCACCACTGGCAGAACTTGGTAAGCTTTTGTGCTTCTTTACGCTTTAGCCAGTTTATCTATGAATGTTAATAGTGCACATAATCCATGATTGGATGTTTTACCTATGTGATCGCCCCCGTTTTTGTTCTGTTCAGAATGAGAATCATAGTCTATGGAAGTTGGGCACTCTCCCACCTGGTTTGATCACATTTTACTCGAAGACCAAGTCGCTGGACAAATCGTGGCACGTGCTTGGGCTTGGCTACAACCCTGGAATCAGCTTGGATGAGATCAGGAATGCTGCGGTGATTCACTACAATGGGAACATGAAGCCTTGGCTCGACATAGCCATGAACCAGTACAAGCATCTGTGGACTAAATATATTGACGGCGATATGGAGTTTGTTCAGATGTGCAATTTTGGTCTTTAGATAACGAAAACCAAATAGACACTTCCCAGGTCAGATACACTACGTTTAAGCTGTTAGGTGTCCATACTGAATTTGCCATATTACTGTTAGAAGATTTTGGATTCAGTGATTGGTTCAGACACTGATTTGGTTCAGCCGAAAATTGTTTATGTACACGGATGGGCAATAGATTCTTTTGTTGAAATGTTCTTTTCTTCAGCCAGAAATTCTACTTTTGTTGGGGACTCTGACCCATTATAGTACCTCTCTGTTTTCTGTCCCACTCCCACGGCTTGTTCGCGCTGTAATGACTTCCAGCTTATTGAAATGCTTGCTGAAGAATTTATTATGTCTTGTGATGTTTAACACCTAAAACAGCTTGGTTTATGGTCGCTTACGTAACTGCCCGTCAGGTGGTGGAGGTCAGAGTGCTAACATTCAATCCAATTTGTTAATATGGTGCTACAAATTCTGGCAATTGGATAATATGGTGCTAATACTAATTTAGGCAATAGGAACATTTTATTGACTTGACTTTTTTTTTTATCTCAAGGGTTGACAACAATTAATGTGACTTTGAAAAGGGAGGGGCGCTTGTCATCTTGGAAAATATGTGTGGTGCTGGTCATTAATTTCACATCTCGTGACTTACCGGCTACCGCTAATATCATGAAGCAGATCACAAACATATACCATAAACACTACAAATCACACAAAAAACAACATAAAATTAGACCTGACAAATTACGACCCGACCCGTTGACCCGACCCAAACTCACCCAAAAAGTAGAACTTTTTATAACCCGAAACTTGAATGACCTGAAATCGATTAACTTGTAATTAACTTGTAATTTTTTGGGTTGGGTTGGGTGGATTAGCGAGTCGACCCGTTAGACCTGTTCCATTTTACATGTCACTCCTAAAATGATAAAATCACTCATAAATTAGTGAGATGTTTAAAAAAACTTGGGTTAATATATTTGTATGGCCTGAACTTTGACCATAATAAACATCCTAGCCAATCTTTTCGATCTATAACATCTAGGCCCAAACTATACATCAAAGTAACGATATGGCCAAACCCGATGTTTGACTATTATATTGGACGGTCAAACACGTTGACTAATGGTTAACATGCCACGTCACCGTCCGGTCATTATAAAAATCATTAAAATATTCATAATTTACACATATTTTCTAATTTTGAATTATTACAATTAAATTAAAACAAAAATTGAACCCCCACCGGCGTGCACCCATTATCCTGTCCAAAGATGTTTTTTGCTGTTCTTTGTGGGATTTCTCATTAGTAAATTCCATGGTTGTTAACCGGGACTGGCCTTCCAATCTATCTGTACCATTATAAATAAAGAAAAAAAAATCTATCTATCTGTACGCTCATAAAACAGGATCTGTTTGGGATAAATGGCTTCAGTTTCTGGAACCTGTATGATAATTAGAGGTGACAAATGGATTGATACATGGATTGGTGGATTTATGGATCAAATGGATTGGATCCAATGGATTGATGGATTGGATAAAGTGGATTGGTGGATTATCCATAAATCCAAATAACATCCTCAAACAAGGACCAATTTTCAAAATATGAAAAGTTTAGATACTAAAATGTCATAATAAAAAATTTTAGGTACCAAAACGTAATTTTCCAATGATATTTTCGTATAAAAATTAAATTTTGGTTACCAAAATGTAAAATATAAAATTTATAGGTACCAAATTGTAATTTGCCATTTGGATCCATGGATCGATCCATGAATCCACCAATCCAATTGTATTTGGATCAAATGGATTGGATTGGTGGATTTATGGATCAAATGGATTGATGGATTGGATCAAGTGGATTGGTGGATTATCCATGAATCCAAATAACATCCTCAACCAAGGACCAATTTGCAAAATATGAAAAGTTTAAGTACTAAAATGTCATAATAAAAAAATTTAGGTACCAAACGTAATTTTCCAATTATATTTTTCGTATAAAATTAAATTTTGGGTACCAAAATGTAAAATATAAAATTTATAGGTACCAAATTGTAATTTGCCATTTGGATCCATGGATCGATCTAGGGGTGTACATGGGTCGGGTGGTCCGGGTTTAGACATTTTAATCACCCGACCCATGCACTACGGTTTGAGAAATATTAAACCCAAACCCACCCAAAAAAATTTAAACCCTACGGTTTGTTTCTAATTGGGTTGGGTCGGGTTGGCGATATTTTTAAGTAAAAACCCAACCCAACACAAAATATGTAATTATTCTACACCATAAAAATATTTTATAACAAATTAAAAATTCAAACGAATAAACCGAGGTGAAAGGTATCAAAATTCACAAATATTGTTTGAATTTTAATAAAATTTTATTTACTTCAACTTATGTCTAGTTTTTTTTCACGACATTTGTTGAAATAGGCTAAAAAGGTTACAAATGAACGCATCCATAATATGTTATTCTATTAAAATTGTACACAAGAAAAAGAATTACGTGAATCATAGGTATATTAAACATGGCAAAATATGGCAAAATATCTTAATTTTCTCATAAGTATGACTATATATGACATAAATATTTTTTTGGATACGAACTCATACCAATAATTGGAACACGGGTTGGGTCGGGTTCTACGGGTTGTGTAATCCAAAATCCAAACCCAACCCAATAGAGGCGGGTTGTACAAAAGAAAACCCTCACCCAACCCAAAACCTTCGTTTTAGCGATAAATACGGGTGGGTTGGGTCGGGTTGGACGGGTGGGTCGGTTTTCGGGTGTGTTTGTTCACCCCTAGATCGATCCATGAATCCACCAATCCAATTGGATTTGGATCAAATGGATTGGATTAGGTGGATATTTTTAATGGGTTTGTGGATTGGATTGATGAATTGGATTGAGAATTGTCACCTCTAATGATAATCAATGTTTGCCAGCGGCGAATCCAGAACACAAAAGTGCACTGGGCCGCATTTTATTAGAAAATTAGAATCGTAAAAAAAATATAATGATTATACTTTTTTTTCAATGTAAATTGTACACGACGGTATTTTAATTTAACGAATGCATTAATAATGGAGTCCACATCCATACCAATAGTATACACTGTTTCAAATAAAATACTTGAGCATTTGGCTAGAAATTCATCGCTCATTTTGTTGCGCAAATCAATTTTCATATGTTTTATTGTTGAAAAGGTTCTCTTCGTATTAGCTGTTGAAACGAGCAGCATCAACACTAGCCAAATCAATCTACTAATCAATTTTCATTGTGTTTCCATCCCTATATCCACCAGCTGCTCTAATAAATTTTCAAGGGAACAAACCTCATATATGTTTTAGTCTTTTACGTTTTAAACTTTTTGAATTTTAGGTTTCATTGTTTTTTTAGACGAATAACCTTTGGGGTTAGAATTTATAAGCTAAATTTAGAGTAGTGATTTTGAATATGTTCATCTAAATCATTTTTCTAATTACGTCAATCTTATTTTAAAATAACAACGACCCGAATATCTAAAATCGAAAATTCATAAGGTCTATACTAACTATGGATGTTTGCTTTTGAAGGTGTTTCATCACTCCGTATTTATACCATATGATATATCCCCAAACACTTGGCCGCATTTATTGAGCCACTTTAATTCAAGGTCAACGGTTCTGCCAGTTTTATGTTTGATATATTCGTTTTTTATGTAGGACAATAATTGGCTCCAAACATACCAATATCTGAGTTTGTCTGGGAGCAAAGCAAAGTCTATTTGGAGGTAAAACAAAGCAGCAACTCGAAAATACTGACTGTTATCTGCTTGTGTTTCTCACATGGATGCCTATTGAGTGTTAAAGAAAAGGAAAAAAACAAAGTTCTTGGGAGTTCTTCCACCACTTTTTCCTAGACTTGGAGCACGAGCAGAAAAAAGGTTGATTTCCACCCAGAAGTTCTCTACCAAAGAAGACAAGCTAAAGGATCAAAGAAGTCTAGGGTACAGTTACCTGAAGTTTGTTGCAGTAGGCAACAATCTGTATTTCTCCTAATTTAAATCAGGGTTGGCTTTGTTGTTATTGTTTTAGGGTGCTGAATAAGCTCCGAATGGAATCGATTTGACAACATTGATAAATTACAAAAGCAAACAAAATTGTAAAAATAGCAGAAAAGAAAGTAAATGTACAAGCACAAGTAATCACCAATTATCGAGGGATGGAGATCTTGCTTCACTGCTGCCCTGAGCCCAAAAACTGTAGCTTCCATTGTACATGCCTCGCAACTCCGTGTATCTTGGAATTGGTGTCGGCCAGCAAGAGAACCTAGGCTCAAACACCTTAGCATAAGAATGGCTACCATCCACCTCTTCCACTTTAGCGTATAACTCCAACTCTTACCTTCTCAAATCGCAGGACCATAAAGTACTACCACAAGCACCACACTGGAAGAAGACAATCTCTGGTTTATGTGGATGCAGAAAAGGTCGAAAGGATTCATCCCTAGCTTCATAGCTACAGCACCTTGGGTTCTTCACCAACCCTTCATATTGTTTCCTCCAAGATCTGCGGTCTTCTTCTAGTCTCCAAACGATTACACGACGAGGATCAATATTGGTTTGGTATGAAATTACATGAAGAGCACCTTGTGAACTCGAAATTGCCCACATATCTTCTGACGCGAATGTAGTAGTATCAATGCAAGCGGGAGGTATATCAAGGCGGAAAGGATTGAACCCAGCCACCAATTTCACAGGGTTGGCCGCATTTTCTCGACAGACTTTCGTGTGCATCCAGAAAAACTCCACACTGCACACACTTACACATTTAGCTCCGACTCTCATGTATTTGTCAAGAACAAGAGCATCTTTTATCCATTCTCCAGACTCCGAACAAAACTCGTCGAGATTTAGACACAACGGCTCCACATCTTGATATATACACACCACCCGGCAGCGATACTCGGAATAAATAATTGACTGATCATCTCCTAGATCAAGTTTATTAGAAATAACGGGTTCACAAACTAACCTTGTCACCGGTGATAAATACCCATCTAGCTTCCTGGGGGCTAAAGGAAGAGCGACCCACTGCTTGGTAAACGGATTGCAGATCAAGTAAGACCTGCTATGTTCCCCATTGTCCTGCTTTACATCCCAAAACCCGCATAAAACCAAGTCCTTGTAGCAATCCAAGACTTTCAGACTGCCTCCAACTCTACTGGGCATGGGAGGCAGAAGGCTGAGGATGGCAGATTGCAGCTCCTTGGGGTGCAGCTTCACGTTCTGATGGTGAGAAACCATACGGCGATTGAAGCAGGGACTCAAAATCAGGGAGCTCCAGCGCTTGCATACGGCTTTGCAGCGAAAGGCAGATTTGGGATCGGGGAAGCTGCGAACTAAAATCTCTACGAGGAGATCGTCTCCGAGCTTGCCGATCATCGTGGTGGGAGGAGGGTTTGTTGCTTTTGAACCGATTCGTGGTTGTTTTCTGCAACGGCCAAGGAGTAAGCGCGCCGGGAGATCAAAATCCGAAGTGCAGCTGTTTTCGGTCGCCATGGCTAGACGGACGGATTGAAGGAAGATAATCCAGGCGTTAGGGATTTCAACGGACAAGCCCAGAGAGATCAAAATACGGATCCCAATTGCTTCACTCCTTTGCTCTATACTTATATTCTTGCCGCGGTCGGCTGCTGCACCTTTGCTTCCTCGCAGTCGTCGGATTAGGATTAGGGCTCATTGGTTTGTTGGGCTCAAAGTTTCAGGGCCCTCGGAGGCCCATTGGATGGGTTGGTCCACCTTTCACGTTTACATGGTGTTCGGCCCATTTTGTAGGATTATGATCTATGATTTGTTGCGCTTTACACAGAGATGACCATACATGGCCGGTGGATTTTTCTGCGCCATTTCAGATCTTCTTATTATTTAGTTGGTTCATGATAAGTGTTCGATCCACTTGATAGTAATAGCGTTTGTTTTATAATGGCACATTTTATATACCTTAAATTACAATACTCATCAATGTATTAGTATATTATGTAAAAAGGCTATCACCAATTGTTTTAAGTAATGAATTATCTTCTATAAACGCGACTACATTTAAAATTGAATTTCGAAATAAGATAATATATATTTCTCTTGCTAATTTATTTCATTTAATTAATTCATACCCGACATGAAAAAAATACATTAAGGATCACTTACCAAGTAAAATCTTGATGTCATGATCTTCGTCTGCTCCCATAAGCTCTGGTAATCTAATGCTTAAATTGGGCAGGAACATTCTTCTTCTTCCAATGTTTAAACACTTGGTCACTTAGAAACCATGAAACCTATCTATCATTAATTAAAAAGGGCTAATTCTACTAGACAACGCCAACTATCATAAAACTGTTAGTTTTGTTCTACCGTATTCAGTATGACAATCCTAGCACGAGGTATGAGACTTTTGTGAAATTTATATTATGACATTTTCGTTGATTGTTAAGATAACGATTGACCATACGATGGTCAAAGCAATACTGACTTTTGTTGGTGGCAAAATGAGTGCCACATAAACGCCGCATCATTGACACATACTCGTGCCTTCCGACTAGTTGACGTCTCATGGACCTCTGTGATTCTCGACCCTCTAAAACCCTCAACCCTTCATTTTGCCCTGTCGTTTGATTGATGTCTATGAGAAACCTAGCTGCTAGGGTTGCAGCAGGTTGTAAGAGGGAGAAGAAGAATGCGAGAAATGATTTTGTAAAGGAAACCCGCAAATTTCTTAAGCTCCAGCTGCTGCTATTTATACTCGATTTCAAAGAGTAAAGTGAACAAACAGTAAAACATGATTTGTTCGTTAAACTATGATTCGAAATTGCATAATTAATAAACGCCACGTGTCTTCTTCTTGTTGGCCTCTTGGCCTCCACCCAACGGTAAGTGTTGGTCTCCACGTCGCCGTTTTAACCTTTACTTAAGCTAGGTGGAGGGGAAGGTAGAAAAGAAACGTTTCTGCCTGTCTTTGCTCTGTTCTTCAGTTGTTCTTCCTCCATCAGCTATGTAGCTTCCTCCCTTCGATCTCCATCTCCATCTTTATGCTCTGTTACTCCCTCGTAAGTTGGCGAGTACATGTCGATTACTCCCAACTTATCAAGCAAATACTTCAACCTGTAACGAGTCAATCCTTTAGTGAACAAGTCTGCAAGCTGGTCATCTATTCTAACATGCTGCAATTTGATCATTCCAGATTTTAGCCTTTCTCTTGTAACATGGCAGTCGATTTCGATGTGTTTTGTCCTCTCGTGGAAAACTGGGTTTTCTGCTATATGGATGGTTGATCGATTGTCACAAAATACCTCAATTGGCAGTGGAACCTTGATACCCATTTCTGCCAACAGATTTCTTAACCATTCCAACTCACAAACTAGTTGAGCCAAAGCCCTATACTCAGCCTCGGATGATGACCTGGAAATAGTAGTTTGCTTCTTTGATTTCCAGGTTAACAAACACTCTCCAAGCAAAGTGCAATACCCTGTCACTGACCTTCTGGTATCAGGACAACTGGCCCAATCTGAGTCTGAGAAACCAGTCAATTCCATCTTTGCTCCTGCTTTGAACAACAATCCTTGACCTGGTGCATGCTTCAGGTATCTTAGCACCCTGTAGGCAGCTTGTAGGTGTTCAGTGTAGGGTTCCTTTTGAAACTGACATAACTGTTGTACTGAATGTGTAATGTCAGGTCTGGTTATTGTTATGTAATGAAGCCTTCCCACCAGCCTCTGTAAACTTCTGGATTTGGCAAAGGCTCTCCTTGCTTTGCTGTCAACTGAACCTTGCAGTCTGTAGGAGATAAACAGTCTTTAGCATCTAGATAGCCTGTATCCTCCAGTAAGTCCATACAATACTTCCTTTGATTCATAAATATTCCTCTATGATCCCTGTAAACTTCAAATCCATAAAGAACTTCAAAGTTCCCAAATCCTTCACCTTGAACTCCTTCCCTGAGAGTCTCTTAGTTTGTTCAATATCACTTAGAGAACTCCCTGCAATTAGGATATCATCTACATATACCAAAACTACCAACACTCTTCCTTGAAAACTCCTAATGAACATAGAGTAATCAGAAGCTGCCTGTGAGAAATCATTTTTCAACAAAGAAGCTGTCAACTTGGCAAACCATTGCCTACTGGCTTGCTTTAAGCCATACAAAGATTTTTTGAGTTTGAAAACAATCCTTGGATCTGAAACAACAACTCCTGGTGGAGGTTTCATGTAAACCTCTTCATTCAGGTCACTATGAAGGAAGGTATTGGCCACATCCATTTGATGGATATGCCAATCCTGTGAGGCTGCTACTGACAACAATGCCTTGACTGAATTGATCTTTGCCACTGGGGAAAAGGTGTCTAGAAAGTCAATACCATAAATCTGTGTAAACCCCTTCACAACTAGCCTAGACTTGTGCCTTTCAATGGATCCATCAGCCCTATGCTTAATTTTGTACACCCATTTGTTTCCAATTGCCTTTTTGCCTTCAGGTAAAATTACTTCATCCCAAGTCTTGTTAGCAATGAGAGCATCCACTTCTGCCTAGGACTTAGGTTCTTCTGCATTCATAACACTTAGCACAAAAGACTTGTGTGATTCAGGCAACTGCTTAAATGATACAAAGTGGTGTATTGAATGGCTTCTGGTAGCTCCTAAAAACACATAGTCTTTGTGCCAAACTGGCTTAGTTCTGTTTCTAGTAAGTTTCTTAATTCCAGGATCCTCCCCATCTTCAACAGGTTCCTGAGCACATAGTTCTTCCTCCCCATCAGAGTGCAAATCAGGCCACTCTTGAACAGAAGTAGTAGGAAAAGAAGAGATGGTGTTGGGAGTGGAACTGGTACTGGAGAGGGGTTGATACTAAAAGTGGATGGAAAAGAGTGTGGTTGAGATGCAGTCTGAGGATTTGGTGAAGGAACTGGTGGTGGCAGATGTTCAGTAGGGAGAGGAGAATGGATAAGATAAGAAATGTCAGGAGGAGAGGATGATGATGTGTGAGTAGGAAGGATAGGATCAGGTATGGTAGAAGAAGTAGAAGAGGTGGTTTTGAATGGAAAAATTTGTTCATGAAAGATGACATGTCTGGAGACAAACACATAATGAGTATTGAGGTCAAAAAGTTTATAACCTTTGATTCCAGGAGGGAAACCAAGGAAAACACATTGTCTTGCCCTTGGATTAAATTTGGTTCTATCCCTAAGCAGTGTAGAAGCATAGGAAAGACAACCAAAAACTTTAAGGTGAGACAGTGTAGGTGGTTTGTGATAGAGAAGTTCAAAATGAGTGAGATCCTGCAGAATAGGGGAGGGAATCCTATTGATGAGGTGCACAGCATGCAGGATGCAATCGCTCTAGAATGTCAATGGTAAACCAGCTTGAAACCCAAGTGCCCTGGCAAGATTTAATATATGCTGATGCTTCCTCTCAACTCGAGCATTTTGCTCTGGAGTCTCTACACAAGAGGTTTGATGCTCTATTCCATTAGAAGAATAAAAATTAGCCATATGAAACTCATTACCCTGGTCACTTCGAATAACTTTAACCAATCTGCCAAACTGTCTGCTAACCATCACACAAAAGGCTTCTAAAATCTTACGAGTTTCATATTTCAACTTCATTAAATAAGTCCAAACATCTCTAGAATGATCATCTACTATCGTGAGAAAGTAAGAATAACCATCATAGGACTTAACAGCAAGAGCCCCCCATATATCCACATGAATCATGTCAAATACAAACTGTGCTCTACTGGTGCTAACAGGAAATGACAGTTTTCTTTGTTTGGCTAAATGACAGGTTTCACAATGCCTAACAATGGACCTATTACAAACAACAAGTTGGTTCTCTCTCTCTCTTTGCTGGGGTGTCCTAGTCTCCAATGCCAAAGCTCAATTTGGTGAGGTTGAAAGTTGTAAGTGGCTGCTGTGTGATGGTGAGGTAAGGCTGGAATGTTGGGAAAAAGTTGATAGAGTCCTATATTTTGTCTGGCGAAACCAATCTGCTTCCTGGTCACTATGTCCTAAATATGACAAGAGTCAGATTCAAAATGCAAAGAAAGAGAAAGGTCATGGGTAAGTTTGCTGACAGAGATGAGGTTGAAGGTAAAACTAGGGACCAGGAGCACATTTTGAAGGTAGAGACCAGGTTGTAGTCTAACTGTACCAATTTGACTAACTAGAACCTTAGACCCATTTGGAAGATACACAAATTGGTTAACTATGGGTTTGACATCAGTTAACAAAGAGAGAGTGCAAAAAACGTGGTCTGAGGCACCAGTGTCTAATATCCAGACTTGAGCTAATCCCATTAAACCATACTGGTTGTGTGAAGATAGAACATACTTACCAGAAAAGTTGGGAAACTGTGGTAAGTGTTGAGTGACTGAATAGGCAGCATGCTTAAGAGAAGGTGAAAGAGGTGGTGAGGGACTCATGCTGTCAGACTGTTGTAAGAGAGACTTCAGTTTGCTAAATTCTTCTATAGTGAACCATTGGCTTCCTTGAATGCTTTTGGTATCCAGACTCAGAGTGCTGCCTGTGGAACCAGAATCCTTGCTTTATGAGTCTATCTGAGAAACAGAACCAGCAAAACTGTTCTCTCCTGCCATCCTGGCCTTCTTGTTTTTGAGTCTGTAACACTCTTCCTTCAAGTGACCATTCTTCTTGCAATATCTGTAGAATTTGCCTTCCATTTAGGTGGCATCCTTTCCACCTATGTTGGGTTCGAATGAACTATAACTCTTCTGCTTATCACCTTGAGCTGCAAGTGCTACTGATTGAACACTTCTGTTAGAATGACAATCTGATTTGAGCTTTTGTTCATGTTGCAGGATGTCATCCACAACAGCTTCTACAGAGGGTAATGGCTTCATCGTCAACAGCTGGGTTAGCACCACATCGAAATCAGGCCTCAGTCCTCAAAGAAACTTGATTAGATATTCAGTTTCATGCCTTTCCTTAAAGGCTTCAATAGCTGCACAAGGTCTAGTTCTAACAATCACACAATCACAGTCGACAATGGGGTTGAACTGGAGGTATTCCTCCCATAATCCTTTCAAGTGGACATAGTATTGAGTCACACTTAGACTTCCCTATTTAAAACGATCTATGGCTTCCTTCAAATTAGCAAGTCTCAATGCATTACAGCTTCCAAATCTCTTCTTAAGTTCATCCCAAAGAGTCTGTGCTACTTCATGCTGTAATACACTACGACGTATGTCCTTATCAATTGAATTCATAATCCAACATAGCACCATGGTGTTTGATGCATCCCATAAAATGAACTTTGGGTGTGTTCGTTCTGGCATAGGCAAGCTACCGCCTACCATCAATAAACTCAATCTTATGCTTGGTTTTGAGAACCATTCGAACAGCCCTTTGCCATATCTGATAATTGTGTTCATCGAGCAACTCTGAGACTATAGATTGTCCTAGATTTTCAATCGGATTGATGTAGTAAGGTCTACCAAACACATAACCCATTTGGTTTTGAGGATTACCAGTGTAGATCTAAGCTTGTGCATCATTCTGCGTCTGCTGGGTTTGCTGGGTTCGCTGGCCTTGTTGATACCGAGCATTGCGATTGAAGCTGCAAAAGGGAGTTTCACAATCTCCACTGCCTAAGCTACTGGGTGGTGTATTCATCTTTTTATTTTGACGCGGAAAAGCGGATCAACGCTCTGATACAATATGAGAAACCTAGTTGCTAGGGTTGCAGCAGGTTGTAAGAGGGAGAAGAAGAATGCGAGAAATTATTTTGTAAAGGAAACCCGCAAATTGCTTAGGCTCTAGCTGCTGCTATTTATAATCGAGTTCAAAGAGTAAGTAAACAAACAGTAAAACATGATTTGTTTGTTAAACTGTAATTCAAAATTGCATAATTAATTAACGACACGTGTCTTCTCTTCTTGACCTCTTGGTCTCCACCCAATGGTACGTGCTGGTCTCCACGTCGTTGTTTTAACCTTTACTTAAGCTAGGTGGAGGGGAAGGCAGAAATGAAATGTTTCTGCCTGTCTTTGCTCTGTTCTTCAGTTGTTCTTCCTGCAGCAGCTATGTAGCTTCCTACCTTCGATCTCCATCTCCATCTTTCTACTCTGTTAATGTCGCCACTACAGAGATTCATCTTCTCCGTCTCCAAAAGAAATCCAGGTTGACCCAATCAATTTCTCCACTACTGTCCCAATTGATTTCTCCAAAGTAGCAATTTAGAATTCGGCTTCCCATTCATCCCTTCGATTTCTCTCTTCTCTTCCCTTCGAATCCATAGAGATCCACAACTTAGTCAATGGATGTACAAAAACAAGAAACTTTTGCAGGCTGTTGTCATCTTCAAAAGAACTATCGCTTTGATGACGACCGAATCAGAGACGATGTGTTGAGGATTCGTCAATTTGGGTCTGTGTAGTTATTCTTATCCAGTCAATGAAGCTTGGGTATGGTCATTCGACCTGGAGAAACCGAAGAGAAAGTCTGAATAGATGGTGAAATTGTGGGAGGGGTGAGGACGGGATGAGGGAGAGAGAGAAAATAGTTTTATTTTATTTTTTACTTACATATAAAAATATTGTTTAATCCAATCTAGTTGAAAAAATAAATTAAAATTTTCATGTCACATACGACATGTCACATCACTTCTAACTAGATTTTCAGTTAAATACTAACAGTCAACAGCACTAAAAGAAAAAATGTATGTACAAGGACTAACATATTGAACACTTTAAAACAGAAATTATATTTTTGTGATAGTTAGGGTGTTTTAGTGAAATTATCCGTTAAAAAATGAAAGCATAACATCGCTAATTTTTACATACCCAAAGGAACAATCAAGATTGAAGACCCAACTATTGGTGGATCGGTACATAGGTTAATTAATTCTATACTCAAATTGCCTTGCATTTATCATCAATTCAGACTCGACTAATTTATTCACAAGGAAAAGATCTCTTTTCATGTTAGGTAACAAAGCACCTAATGCCAGTTTATTCACGTATTTTTGCTGAAACAGTTTTGCTTAATTTTAATTGGCTCAAACCAACTATTTTGTTCTCATACGATCAAAATCTCGATTTAGGTATGATTTTACGATTTTAACGATTTCAATCTTGTTTTAAACGATTTTAAGGTCCACTGATTTTATAGTAAAATCAGGATCAGAATCCCTATGTAAAATCCTACGATTTTACGATCAAAATCGCGATTTTGACTGCATTGCTCCCTTAGCGAACGTCGACGAGGCGAAATGGATGGACAGGAACTCAAAGATCCGCGCGAAGCTAGTGGAGTGTCGCGTCGACAGCGACCTGTGACCGAAGTCCGAGGAAGCGATCGGAGCAGCGAGTTGAAAGAGGAGAGCAGTTGGGAGCGTCGGCTGTCGGGAAAACACCATGTCAGAATCCCCAAGCGAACGACGGCGCGACGATCGATGACGGATCAGGGGGTGAAAGGTCTAATGAATCCAACAACTGAACACAAAACACCATAACCTATCACTTCGTGTCAAACCTACAACATAACTATCAAATGAAAATCCATAGATGTGCATGCTTTATTTGGAATGAATAACACAAAACAAAGACCTATTTTGGTATTTAAGCCTATGAGGAGTTTGGAGGAGCAGAAGTTGTTGGAAATTTGGTTGAACCAGATTAACCAAGTCAAACTGGCTCTGGGTTGGACCGACCAACCGGTTTGGGATTAGATCGACCGAATCGATATTCTAATTCCATGAAGGAACACATCCTTTTGGCCTAGTGGTGGTTGCATTATTTTATGGATAAGGATAACATTTTATATGGATAGAGGAAACCTTTCATATGGATAAAGGCAACATTTCGTATGGATAAAGGCAACCTTACATGAAACAATACATGGATACGACCCCTATAAATATGTGTGGGGTGGATGATATCACACACCATCAAACATATTTTTCTTCTTTCTTCCAAAAATTTCTAAGTATGCTTTAGTGTTCTTGAGCCTAGAACCTAAAGTGGTGATAGTTTTATCCTCGGGAGAAATTTCCTCTAACCCAAGGCTTTGTAGAGGGTGGAAATATTCTTTACGGAAAGTGAACGTAGTTCACGACTCAATCACAACCCTAGTCACCCTGTCTCGGGCTATCGTACGTTTACCCTCGTTCATAAAAAATTCCCAACAATCGTAAAGAATAAATTCAGGTACACTAGCTCGAACTGCTCTTTTCAATTAATCGGTTCCGATCTATGGAATTATGAGAATGTTCGATGATGAGTTTTCATCGATTGCAGTAGAAGATGGGTGTTCTTCGTACTAGTCTCATGGTGCATTCCATATCTGGAAGGTAACTTTGAAGAGGGATGATTCAAAGATGAGGAAGAAGGAGAATGCTTCGTCAAATGGAGAAATAGAAGAATGAAAATTGTCTTTGGGTAGGTTACATACTCAATGGTTAATTTATCTAATTCTCTATTCAACATTTATGAAGTCCTAGACAAATTTGGATTTTTGTCTAGTGGTTTGATGGTGTGATTTGTCTAAGTGGTTTATGTTAAACCAAAGTGACAAAATGTATTTACAATTTATAATGATTCTGGTAATATAGTCATCATACATTTGTATGTATATGACATGCTTATCTTTGGGACCAATAAAAGATAAGTGAACTTTGATCAAAAGTTGTTATTTAAATTCTCCATGTAGGACATGGAGGAGGAAAATGTGATTCTGTGTATTGAATCAAGCGGAACGACAAAGAAAATTCCTTCTCTCATTTTTTCTGCATTGGGAAGGTACTTGCAAAAATTCCATAGTAGGAATTGTCGTGAGTTAAAGACCCCAATGGATCCAAGTATGGAACTTATGGTTAATACTCGAAACTAGTTTTGCAACTGGAGTATTTCATGTCCAATTGGGTATGTATGCATGACTTGCATAAAACCATATATCGCATTGCGGTATGACCATTAAGCTGGTGTTTGAGTAATCCTAGTGCTCATCATTAGGCATGAAATGAGGCGTGTACTATGATATCTCAATGGCACATTGCATTGACTTATAGTGGTTTTCCATCCATTTTGGAAGTATTTATTGATATTAGTTGGAATTCTCATGTTAAATGTGATACTTCGACATCGAGATGAATCCTTTTGCTTGGGGGAGGTGTCATATCTTGCGCCTCTAGAAAGCAAACTTGTATCACTAGTTCCACTATGAAGTCAAAAAGTTTGTGGCCTTGAATTCTCTTAGAAAAGAGGCATTATTGTTGAGATGCTTGGTTTATGACATTTATTTATGGCCAAAACCAATCTCACCTATTACTATTCTTAGTGATAGTAATGCTAATTTGGCTAAGGCAGACAATCAAGTGCAAATGGCAAGTATGGTCATGTGGGAGTTAGCACTGTAAAATCTAAGAATTGATCACTCATAGATTTGTGTATATACAAATATGACCGGACTGGAGATAATTTAGTTGATCATTTGATGAAATGATGAACTAGTGAGTTGGTAGTCAAGTCTCTGAAAGGGATGAGTTTAAAGAACATATAATTTCTGGTTAGGGGATACCCAATTCCCCTCTAATACAACATTAGAGACTGAACTCAATGTGGAAAGCTCATTATCAGAAATTGAAGCACACAATTTGTCATCCTGAGGTATGTGCTTGTTATCCTGCATGAGAGAAGAGGATAAAGTTCAAAACTTCTTAATGGAATCTTTGAAAAAGTGTAAGCATGAAGTGTAGCCGCTTCAAGAAACTCGGACTTTGGTTTCGTGTGCGCTTATGAGAAGGATTGGACACATGGCGGTTAATAGTGTCAAGGCACTTAGAAGTTTGTAAAACTTAAGTGTATATTATCTTCGAATATTCACATGAGTAGATGGGTTCAATAGTTTCCAACACCCAAATATTCGGATATTCGTCAAGTGTAATATACTAATATGAAAATTTAATCGTCACGACATTTTCATTTATGCTTAAGTTTTTGTTAGAAGAATGTTGTGATTTTAGTGCATTCTATGATTACACTAAAATGGGGGAGGAATGTTGGAAATTTGGTTGCACTAGACTAACCAAGTTAAACCGGTTTTGGGTTGGACCGGCCAACCCGTTTGGGATTAGATCGAGCGAACCGATATTCTAATTCCATGAAGGGACACATCCCTTTGGCCTAGTGGGGTTGCATTATTTTATGGATAAGGATAACCTTATGGATAAAGGCAACCCTTCATATGGATAAAGATAACCTTTTATATGGATAGAGACATCATTTCATATGGATAAGGATAACCTTTTATATGGATAGAGGCAACCTTTCATATGGATAAAGGCAACCTTCGTATGGATAAAGGCAACCTTTCATGAAACAATGTTTGGATTCGGTCCCTATAAATATGTGTGGGGTGGATGATGTTACACACCATCAAACATATTCTTCTTATTTCTGCCAAAAATTTCTAAGTATTCTTTAGTGTTCTTGAGCCTAGAACCTGAAGAGGTGATAGTTTTATCCTCGGGAGAAATTTTCTTTTACCCAAGGCTTTGTAGAGGGTGGAAATATTCTATACGAAAAGTGAACGTAGATCACGACTCTATCACAATCCTGGTCACCCGGTCTCGGGCTATCGTACGTGTACCCTCGTTCCTCAAAAAGTCCCAACAGAAGTCGCACTTGATCATACAGGCATAAAGTAAGAACAAGTCTCACCACTAAGTTTACAGTCAAAGATGTGCCACCTCTTTCTATCTGCAAATCAATCACCTTGCCAATAGGGCTGCAAATAAGCCGAGTCGAGTTTTACCCCAGTTTGAGCTCGGCTCGTTAGTAAACGAGTTGAACTCGAGCTCACCTTGTTTATTAACGAGCCGAGTCGAGCTCGATCTAGCTTGTTTACTAAAATCTTGACTTTTATTTGGTACTTCATTTTGTATACCATGAATCCACGATACATATGATTTATTTTGTTAGCTAATCTCATATTATACTTTGTTGGTATCATATATCATTTAGTTAATAAAATGTTAACAACTACTAATCATGGTATTTCATAGTATTGAAGCAATCTATGATACATAAATTCTTTTTAAAGTAGAAAATAAGATATGTTTGCTCACATACTCAACGTGTTAATTGACTCGCTATGACACAACACCTAACAAAGGCCAAGTGTAACCAATGAAAGGGACTGCAGTATAGTGGCTCAAGTGATAAATATCGAATCCACGGGTCTCTAGAGTTACTATTACTCAGCTTCAGTTTATTATTTAGCAAATCAGATTAAGATGAAAGAACTAAAACTACTCTAGCAAACTACAGTTAAAGTTAATCTAATTACAGGTTGGGAACTCACTTAGGTATGATTCCCCCTAGCCACTAGCCAGATTAATGATTGATGATCTCTAACCTGTTTCACTTTCATTCACAATGCGGAGAATCCTTGACTAGACCTTGAGTCTCGACTAAAGGAACAAGGCCCTCTTGAGTCAATTGCCTAGAGGGACGTATCCTTCTTTAGAACAACCGATCAAGGCGTTCTGAACTAGACTCCCTCTATCGAAAGGGGTTCTCAATCGATACAAAGCAGTGAATCAACCCTCGACTAAAGCAATCGATCCACTGCTATCAATCTATGGTGCTCTATTGACCTAATCAGGTATTCCCTCTCATAGGATCAAAGCAGAATCAATAATCTCGACTAAAGCAGAATTGAATCATGAAAACATGCATAGATTGAATATGAACTCAAGATTATCCAGTCAGAGTACTCATACAATCATCCAATCAAACAAACATAGCTAGGGTTCCTCAAAACCTAAGTGAAGGGAAGTTACTCCATAGAGAAGAGAGAGACTGCAGTAAGAATCTTCAGATGATCAGTCTTCAAGTCCGGGCTTGTTCCTCGAGCTTCCAAGGCGAAGAAATCCTCCAAATCCACTCCAAGAATGCCCTCAAATCGCCCTCTCTCTCTTTGGTTCGTCCCTTGGGTGTTTGGGATCCAAAACTCAGCTCTCTCTCTCCTTTGGTTCGGAATTTGGCTTAAAACCAGATTTCCCGACTCGCACGGCCAGGGTGCACGGCCGTGCATATCACCATTCTGGCCGTGCAACTCAAAACGCAGCGTGTCATTTAGTCGAACTTCAGCCCTCTCGCACGGCCAGGGTGCACGGCCGTGCAGCCTCCCTGGTCTGCCCGTGCAGCTTGCTCAGCCTCTGTTTAATGCTTCGTTTCTCCCTCGTCCGGACTCCGAATCAGTCGCCGTTTGATCCCAGACGCTCGTAGTCTCGTCCTCTTTCGTTTCATAACAAGCTTGCACGCTTCTTTGTCCATAAAGTGAGGTAGAAATCCATTCTTCTTCAGGTCATGTCCGAGTTTCCTCTCTCGAATCGTCAATTGATCTCTGATTGAC